TTTCTATATTTTGCTTTAGCAAAAGCAACTAATTTTAGTAGCAGATGCCATGGAACAATGCGGGTCTCACTTTTTGTGTCTTGTTCCTTAAAAACACGTTTGTTTGCAAGAAAATGTCAGGATATCTCGTGTATCCAAATCACCACTCTTTTTCTGTCACAACAATAAAGTTTTACTTTTTCCTATAATTTATTCACTCTTGATTTTTTTGTCTTGGCTTATAAAGAAAAATATCCTGGGATATTGGATAGGAGCTAAGAACATTTGTTGTCCCCATTCCTGAAATCATCTAAATAATGTTTATAAATTTAGTTCCTTGACTAGTTCCATTGACTTCACTATGATGATTTATAAGTGAAGTCATGTACGTGTTACTGTTTACAGAGCCGAGACTGTAGTCTGCAACTACAGCTAGAAATGGGATCTATGCTTCATCACTATGGCCGTGTCCAGACTCAGGGGTTTTTTCGGGAAAAAACTTCCCCTGCGTCCAGACTCAAGCCGCGTTCTTTCGAAATTATTTCGAAAGAACGCGGCTTTTCTTTCGATGGCGGTAAACCTCATTTCACGAGGAAGAACGCCTTCTTTCGAAAGTTCCTCTTTCGAAAGAAGCCTGCAGTCTAGACATAGCCTATGGGTTATGTCTACACAGCAGCGTTATTTCAGAATAACTGACATTCTGAAGTGACAAAGAGTGTATCTACACTACAAGCTTTTATTTTGAAATAAAGTTGAGTTGGAGGACTTCTTATTCCGACATGATAACCCTCATTTCATGAGGAATAAGGGATGTCGAAGGAAGAGTGTTCTTTCAACTTCCTGCTGTGTAGACAGTGCCTAAAGCCAAGTTAAGCTATTTCGACTTTAAGTTACACAATTGACGTAGCTGAAGTTGGGTAGCTTAATTTTACTTGAGCTCTGCTGCCTATGGCAGCTCAACTGTTGGAGGTTTTCATTTAGATGGGGATCAGATGTGTTTACCTCTGAAGCATCTAACACTGCTGGGAGTTGTTCATACCATAAGTGGAACTGCACTGTTAACAAATTATGATTCCCTTTATGACAAAACTATTGGGGAGTAAGGTTTCATTTTATAACCCATTAGCAGTTGCTTCTTTCTGCATTACCATTGTCCATTTGGCTTCAGTTCACTTGACCTACTACATGCTCTGCTTCCTTTTAAAATTCTTTCAGATAAATAAACACAAGACACTTCTCATCCTAAAAGAAATTAGCAGATGTACTCATCATGTGGTGTACCATGGAACAGAATTTTCCAGCAGTCATCCAACTTCTATATCTGAATAAGTTTTGAATCCATATCAGTGGGATTTTTAATTATACTAGACTGCTGTAACACGTTAGCTAACATTTTAGGATGTAGGGCTCTCAAGGTTTGTTGATAATTACAGACTATAAAAACACAACTGCTTAGCTCTCCCAAATAATAATATTTCTTCTTAGGTATTTATTTTGAAAAACACTAACATTAAAGTGATGCAACAGTTTACAAACCACCAGCAGTCTGACTTGTTTAACTTAGCATCTTTGATGCTATCAAATGTCTAAAAATGAGTTTAAAGCAACTACAATTTCTGTATTTTCCTGTTTGTTGTATATTTGACCACTCTTCGCACATAGTCATCATTGTCCCTCTTACATAGTCAGTTCCAGAGAGAATAAAGGAAAAAGTAATTGTAGAGCTCCAAAACTTAGCGGAGGTGCTCGGGGGCATGACTAGCAACTGAAACTACATTTAAAACTTGACAAGTTGTTGATACTGCCTCTTTAAAATAACTCTCAAGCACCATAGTGATAGAAATGTAGCCGTGTTAGTCTGGGGTAGTTGAAGCAAAATGCAGGACAATGTAGCACTTTAACAGTGACTTCAAAATGTTTTAAAGGAGAAGCAACCACCAGGTGGCAACAAGTGGTAAGAAAACTTTCATTAGTGAATTTACAATGGCTTAGTTAGAAAAATGTGAATGAATTTTTTTTCTCAAAGTGATTGTTCTCTATTTGACTTATCAGTACTCCATCCTCAAAGGAAACCTGCACAACACTATCAAAAGATGAACCTGGGAGCGTAAATTCATAACTTTTCTACATGTTAAAAATAAACTCTGGAGTCCTGGCTTATTACAACAATCTATAACACATTAACAACCTTCCTCGCTGCTCCCAGTTTTTCATTCCCACAACTGGAAAAGTATTAACCAGCCACTTCACTTTGAATGGTCCCTTGAAATATGTCTTAACTGTCTCTGCTAAACAATCTGCTTCACTTTGTATTTAGCTGTTACACTCAAAGTATGTTTCTTAATCCTGAAGACAAGCTCTTGGCAAGCTGAAAAGACTGTTTCTCTCACCAGTAAAAGTTGGTCCAATAAAGGACGGGGATTGTGGATTCAAGCAAATTCTCATCTTAAATTTCAAATATGTTTCCCATCTAGATCTATAGTTGGTAACATTCCAGTTAACACCTTTCATTTAATTCTTCAGGATTTACAGAGATTTTGCGTTGATACAGGAAAATCCTTTAGAATAACATTTTAAACATTCTAGCAATCTGTTTCTGTCCTTTCACGCTAACAACCTGATACTTAGATGTGCCAAGTACCTTCACCTCTCATTTAACTTTGATCTTGTGTACACTGGAGATTTATTCTAATTTCAACCATGGGTGTCCAGCCATCAGTGTAGCTGTACTATAAACCCCTGGGCTATGTCTACACTGCAGTTTTTTTGCACAAGAACTTTTTGCACAAGAGTTCTTGTGCAAAAGTTCTTGCGCAAGAGCGCATCCACACTGCCATGGGCTTTTACACAAGAGATGTGCTTTGAGTTGTTGCACAAGGGTGCATCCACACTGCCATGTGCTTTTGCACAAGAGATGTGCTTTTGAGCAAGAGCGTCTATGGCGGTGTGGATGCTCTCTTGCACAAGAAAGCTCTGCTGGCCATTTTAGCCATAGAGGTTCCCTGTTTCCATCTCTTGCGCAAAAAGCCCTCTCTTCTAGCTACTGTAAACTTTCTTGTGCAAGAATGGGCTTGTAGTGTGGATGCTCTGCAAGTTTTTGAACAAGAACAGTCATTCTTGCACAAGAAGCCTGCAGTGTAGACACAGCCCTGGTGTAAACAAGGGAAAATAGTAGTGTTGATTTTTCACTAGTGCATTTTACCCCATTTCCCAGCAGGATTCCTGTAATCTTAAGTGTGTGTTGAATCAGTCTCTAGATTAATTTGCTCTCAATTTTTTTTATTTATCTTGCCCCCCTCCCACTCCAAGAATCTACACTGTGTACAAACTAAGACCCCAATTTGGGAAAGATTTATGCATGCATTAAACTTTATATATAGGTAGTCCTATAGAGTCTAGATCTCAGTGGAGCTATTCATGTGCATAAGATTAAGCAAGTGTATAAATCCCTGCAGGATCAGGACAGACAGACCCTAGAAGACATTTTACTATATAGCATGGTGCTAACTGGGATGGTAGATTTGGACTATTAGAGTAATAAGCACAATAACCAGGAACAAGGATTTGCACAAAGGGGATCTAAGATGATAGCCCCCAAAATATTTTCAAAGGAGTAATGAAGAAAAACCACATGGGCTAGTGAAAAAGGCCAAAAAGGTCAATGAACATGTCATTAACTTAGAAGTCATCTTTCTTATCTGCCTCTTTTGACTATCCAGTCTTTAAGTGCTTATAGACTGTTTTTCCTGTTACATTCCAGCTGAGCTTTCCCCTTGATATTTTTATACCCACTATATCTTGTTTTTCCCCTCTCCTATTTTTTCCTTCTCCCCCCCTCCCCTATTTATTTTTGTTCTGGGCATCCAACACTCTGGTTATCTCAAGAAGTGGGCTGTGCCCAGGAAAGCTCATGAGACCATCTACATGTTTTGTTAGTATTTAAAATGCTACCGGACCATTTGTTGTTTTTAAGTTTTTCTTTGAGCGTGTGTTTCTGCAATAAAATGTTTCTCATCTTGCTACCTTTCCAGGTTCGCTTAATGGTGTGTCTGGAGTCTTTGCCACTCAACAGTCCTTAATCCTCACGAGTGGGGAGGATCAAAAGGGATTCCCCTACACCACGAGCAGAGCTTTTCACTCCAAATGGTTTCAGCAATGCATTCCCCCTCCAAATGGAAAGCACAAAAATGAGTGAGGGAAGAAATGTCCAGCACTTATGCTACCTTTCCAGGTTCGCTTAATGGTGTGTCTGGAGTCTTTGCCACTCAACAGTCCTTAATCCTCACGAGTGGGGAGGATCAAAAGGGATTCCCCTACACCACGAGCAGAGCTTTTCACTCCAAATGGTTTCAGCAATGCATTCCCCCTCCAAATGGAAAGCACAAAAATGAGTGAGGGAAGAAATGTCCAGCACTTAATGTAAAGTTGGCAGCTGATATAGTCGGGCACCTCCCGGCTCAGTGTGTCAGTGAGAAAGTAAGAGCATTGCTGGAGCGCGCTCAGGTTGCTCTTTCACTGCCATGCCCCGGAAGCGTCTAGCCCATAACTCATCACAGGGCTGGCTGGGATTTCGGGTTAGGTATCAACCCGGCCTCTTTCCACCTCTGCCGGCACCAGGCCTCGGCGCTGGTTTGGGGGGTTGTGTTTGGCTCGTCTCCCCGGCGCGGCGCCCGGGCCGGCCTTGGGTAAGAGCGCAGGCAGCAGCGCCTCCCGCAGCCTCCTGCGTCTTCCGTCCCCGCCGGCGCCAAGGAGAAGCGGGAAGCCGCGAGCAGCGCGCGGTCCTGGCTTTGCACCGCCCGGCGGGGAGCAGGCCCGCGACGCCCAGCGCAGCATTGGCCCTGCGTGGCTGCAGCCCCGGCCCACAGCAAGGAGCCACCCGGTGCGTTTCCCGCTCCCGCCTCCCTTTCCCAGGGAGCCCCGCTCCATACACCCCGGCCGGCCGAGCATGCAGGCAGCCCGGCAGGCTGCTCCCGGCCCCCCACAGAGCAGGGCCCACCCCGGTCCGTTCCCCGCCCCCGCCTCCCTTTCCCAGGGAGCCCCGCTCCATACACCCCGGCCGGCCGAGCATGCAGGCAGCCCGGCAGGCTGCTCCCGGCCACGCACGGGGCATGTGGCCCGCCCCGCCAGGGATACGCCGATCGCCTCCTTCCTTTCCCCGTTTCTTGAATGAACAGCGAGGTGGAGCTCTCGGGATCCCGCCCCTCCTGCGCGGGCCTCTCCCGGCCCGTCTCCTCCCCGCCACTGGGCTCCGCTCCGCCTCCCTCCTCCTCTTGCCGCCGCGCTGTGCCTGTGCTTCCCCGGCCGCCACAGCGACGCGGAACGGACTGGCGCTCCAGCAGCACCACTGCAGACAGACTAGGGGGCTGCTCTGCCGGGCGGCTGGCAAGGCTGCCGGTGCTGGGGCGGGAAAAGGGAGCGGGGAACAACTTCCTAGCTGCGGTCCTAATTTGTATGAATAATATTCCACACACGCCCCCATCCTCTTCCCTCCTCTGCACAGTGGGGGTTTCTTCCTTTTTTATACAAACAAAGCTGCTTTGGGAAGGCATTTGCTCCCGGGAGTTCAGGCAACCGCCACAATTTTGATGCTCCCTTTTTGAGTGTGTGGGTGTACGTGTGTGTGTGGGAGCGCTGGGCTGCACCTAGGGATCAGCCTCTGAATGAAACTACATGTATTCAATTGCATGTGTCTGTACCTTGCACTGGAGGGGAAAGCACAGCAGCACTTCTGCAAGAGCTTGGAGTCAAAGGTGTGTTTCATCTGCTCTTCACAATTTTGTTTTTTGTTTTGGGTTGTTCTTTTTCCTGGGCTCTGAGGCTGGATATTCTGAGCTTTGACATGTCTTTGGAGAGGTCTGTTTAACAGAAGGCGGGGAAATATTTTTTGAAATCCTTAGGGTTTTGTTTTTGTCCCTTTCCTGTCCCCTTGGTGATTTGATCTTGTGAAGCATCAAAGCAGCCAGAACTTAATGTGTCTGAAGACTTCTGATTTTTTTAAAGGAAACTTGACAGAGGAACATATTTATAGTTCAAGTAAGTACTTTTCACAGCAAATTTACATTGTGTAATTAAAAAAAAAACAGTGTTGAGATTTTTTAGTTTAAAGTGTATTGGATTAATATTCATCCAAGGCTGTTGAACAAATCAGTTTGAATTGCAGTTTTTGCAGTCTATGTTCTTCAACTCCTTCATTCACATGTGCTTGTTCAGCACCTTGGGGAACGTATGCACCTTGTTTTGAATAAGTATGAGATATTTTTTTTAAAAAATGTATTTCAGCATCAAGAAGAAAATGTTTCTAAAATAAGTATATAATAAGTAAACATGTGCTTCTGGAAATAAAATACACGTGCATCCAAACCGAGAAGTCGAAAGTACCTCTGAGACCTCAGAGCTACCATCATGAATGAAACCACATCAAATACAATAACTGGATTATAATTTTTGGTATTATTGTTATTGGCTACTTTACTTTTTTGGGTTCATTCTTCTCCTCTTCTTCCTCTCTCCTTCGTCCTTGTTGGAAATTATGGCTCATCCTGGGAGAAGAGGCTATGATAACCGGGAGATAGTGTTGAAGTACATCCATTACAAACTGTCACAGAGGGGGTATGATTGGGCTGCCAATGAAAACAGAGGACCAGTTTCTTCAAGTCTCTCTCCTCCTGCTGCTGGGACCCCATCTGACCATGCTGGGCTGGTGTCTTTGCCGCCTGAACCCCCTGGTTCGGCTGCTGCTAGTAATGTGCCCCTTGGTGATGGGCTGCGCTCAGCACCACAGGCTGTTCACTTGACTCTGTGCCAAGCCGGAGATGAATTTTCCCGCCGCTATCACAGAGATTTTGCCCAGATGTCTGGGCAGCTGCACTTGACCCCATTCACGGCCAGGGGGCGCTTTGTGGCGGTGGTGGAGGAGCTATTCCGAGATGGGATTAACTGGGGAAGGATCGTGGCCTTCTTTGAATTTGGTGGCGTGATGTGTGTGGAGAGTGTCAACCGGGAGATGTCGCCTCTTGTGGACAGTATTGCTGTGTGGATGACTGAGTACCTGAACAGACACTTGCACAACTGGATCCAGGACAATGGAGGTTGGGTAAGTGTCCCGTATTTCTTTCTCTGTAAATTATGGTAGAATTTCCATCAATGTGGTCACATACTATAGTGATGCAAGCAGTATAGCAACCTATATAGACCAGAATATGAATATCATAATATACTTTAATTGACATAATGCAAGGCAGTGTTTTGGTCTGTGTTACTATAGTGTTTATCAGCATAGCTGTTGTTGGTGTGGAGCTTCTGGAATGTCATGTCATGCAGGAGTTAGAGTTTTGGTGTGGGAGTGGTCACAGTTCCCCATCCTTTGCTAAAAGCTTGGGTAAGAGGTGTATGCATGTATGTGCACACACTGAAAACAAACTTTCTTGTTGGCTGGTGCAGTGAGCGTTCTCCATTCTGTTTCAATGTACTTTAACCATTGAAATCATATGTATATGTTGCGCTATGGTAGAATGGATTCACAGAGCAGTGTGGGAAAGAAAAGCAGTGACATATCTAGGAATGATGCTATAGCTTAATGCTTGAATGAGGTTGAGGGAAAAGGAAAGCGTGTGTGTTTTGTGTATATGCTCATGTTAGTCAAGAATGCTGTAAGCAGGAGAACTCTATATTACAGATCATCAGATGGAGCAGTGTTTAAACTGAGTATCATCTGGTGTTTATAACATATAAAAATATTAGAAAGATTTTACTGCATACGCTAAAAGTAATATTTTTAAATTGTCTTTTTCTAGTGCTTGTGTTGAATCAATTTCAGGTTAGGCAGAATAAAGTGTGGGGAGGAACTTTCTCTGACAGTTTTCTGGAGAGTGCATGCTATTTATTATAACCTGGTGTATTCCAAAGGCAAGAAGTGTTTTATGAATTCCAGGGATTAAAAACAAACCAAAACTCTGGCTGAGGTGGTTTTAGAAGGGAATAATTCAACCACAGGCAAAGAAAATCTACCATTTTCATCCATACAATCAAATCTCATCTGTTTCTGTCTCAAATAATAGTTTTGTCAATTGAAAGATGCTTTCTCCTTTTATTCATTTCATTCCTGCAGTATGCATAAAACCAATCTTGTATGATGTGCCTTAATGCATTTGTGAATCCAAGGAGCAAAAGACACATTGCAACAGAAAACTTAATGTATGAGTCTGGGGGCTGTCATAAGTCATTTTAAAGAAGAAAATAGAATAGTTCTGGGATTCTAAAGGCCCTACTTCTGTCTGCTAGGTGGCATATTTATAGAGAGAGATTTGTTATATAGTACAATTTTAAGTTGCTTACTGCATTTTGCTTATGAAATTCATTTTTAAAACTATATATAAATTGTTACTGTACTTAAAGATTATAGATGCTGAAATATCACTTATCCACAGTGGCTGTGTCTATTCAAATATTGAGATCCTCCATTCTCTCCCATGGTTCTCAGCACAGGGTGTTTTACATCCAAGGGACTGGGAAACGTGTGGACTGACATTAGTAGGAAGAGCAGGCATTTGTGGCATTCTACCATGTTTGTGTTCTACTTCTGAAGTTAAACTTCAGGACAAGTGATTAAGACAGTGATATCGACTGAAATGTGGAAAACCCCCCAGCTTGTTTTGAAGGTTATAAATATGGCTTAAAAGTTGCAGGACAGCCCCTCAACATGGACCTGAAGGATAGCCTTCAAAGATAACATTTTTCAAAATGAGTCTTTAGCATTCTTTGGAACAGCTGTTTATGCTGTGCATAGGGGAAAAGAACATTTAGAATTTTATAGATCTAAAAAATTAGGCCAAACATTAAGGGAATGACTTCCACTGACTTACAGTGGCCTTTGGCTCAAGCCCTAATACTGTTATGTGTGCATACTATTTTCTATTTAAAAAATAAATAATGGATATAAATGAAAACTTTAAAAAGATTAAAATTCTTGGTCAAATGACTCAACCATATTCATATTCTTCACATTTAGAGATATAATAACCTAGATATCTAATACTAACAGCCTTTTAAAAAGAAAGATGCTTCTTAATACTGGCATGGTCATCGAAGTTTCATGTATGGACTGCTGATTTTTTTTTTCTGATGTATGTGACACCATTTATTGTGGTGTGAATATATTGGTAATTTGCATATCTTTTATATATGTATATTATCAGGACACTTTATACAAATGAAAGTGTTTCTGTGAAATAGGTTGCACCAGTTGAGTCCCATGATTAATAGCATAGGTAGCAATTTCTAGGCTCTTAACAAATGAAGCTTCAAATGCAGCTGTTAGGATCCTCATTTCAGATGGAAAAAATCCAAGATAGCACTTCTCATAGAATTTGTTTTTTAAAGTGTGCAAAAGGAAAAACATACTTCATGGTATAATTTGTAATGTGATGACACTTCTTGCCAGGTGCTGGAAGCACTCTATTTAACCTGGTACTTATTCACAACATACCCAGCATATGCCCTTAGTACAGTGTAATGAATGTCTCTCTATAAATAATTACTCACATGCAGACATATGAACACTTTATGTGTTCTAAGCATAACTGTGTATCACATCTCAATACTACATTGGCACCAGGTATAGCCATATGAAATGCATATTTTTACAGCCTTCTGCTTTACAGTGTAATGGTCCAATCTGTACTATTATGATCTTTCATGATAAGATGTGATACTACAATGTATTGTTTATGAAGACTGCATCACAAACTGTAAGAGTCAAATGATCAGTCACAAACCTGTTTTAAGTAGCAAACAAGTTGCTCAGCTTGCAATTACTACTTTTGTGAGTGTACACCTCTGATAGCAGGTCTGAAAGTTTGGCTGTCACTGTCTTTAATAGCTGATTTTTATTTTTTTGAAACACCAGCAAATTGCTTTAAAAGGACCTACATTTATTATTTTACAAGGAAAACAAAGGAAGGGATCTAATTTATGGTCTACAAATTTTAACAATTGTTAGATGTCTTCATGTTTATGTTGATTTAAAACACAAATCAAACTGCCTACATTAGGCTGTATTTTTACCTTGCCATTTCAGATACACATAAATATGACTAAAACAGTTGCACTCTGGATCGGATGCTAAAATACGTGCTGTGACTTGACAAAAGCATATTAATCAAATTACAAAAGTAATAAGGAAGACCAGGTTCTCCTATCTATTCAGTATAATGTCTATTTTCTGATTGTCCAGTTAATGGCTTAAATTTAATTTTTTTAATCTCATTATTTTAGCTATAGAACTTCTGTCCTGAAAACAGGTATACTGATGAGAACAGTTACTTATGAGTCTGATTTAGGGAATATTAAATGTTGTACCTTTGGAAATAACCATATTTGTTGTGGAATAATGCATTCCTAATAGACTAATATGGAACAAAAGACTAAATTAGAGGTCAGCAGTGCCTCAGCTCTGGGCTTTGTGGTAGCCCAACAGGTAACACTCTTCTTGGGTTTGAGGGGAGGGTGTGTTGGGATGGAAGAGGAAGGAATTTAAAAACAAAGAAGAGAAGGTCATGGAATGAGAGAGATTAATCCTTATTTGTGTTAATGGTCAATTCAGGTAAGTATGAAAAATTTTACTTTGATTTACCTTTTTAAAAAAATGCTGTACAGGAATGTAATTTATTTAGGGCTAGATGGTGATACTCTTACTTCATTGCATCATACCTTGCTCCTTGAGAAAGCCCATTTGGTTTCAGAGAGACAATTTAAAACATAAGGTCTTATGCAGTAAGGACATCAAACTCTGTCCCTTTGCTGTCTTATTGACTGCATTAGCTGTTGCTTAATTTATGACTCCTTTTTTAAAATACTAATATGAGTTCTTTTAAGCCTCACTCTGATTCCATTTAATGCCCATGTCACTATTGACTGTTAGAGAATGTCTAGCAAGTATGAAATCTGGTCCACTTACAAAAATTGATAGTAGTTGAAGGTACAAAAGCTTCTTCAGAATCCTTTGTCAGGTTTTGTGGTTTTACAATCAGATTTTCTTATTTATCAAAATATTTTTCTCTGAGCTCTTGCTGACAAACTAATTCTGTTAATGCCTGTGTAACAGAAGAAAGGAATTCTGTAAGAGAACCTGTGGAACTGACTATATACAAGCTGTTGTCCAGTGGCGGCCCGTCAATATAGGCGAACGAGGAGGTCACCTAAGGCGCCAAGATAAACGGCTGTTGAGGGCTTTGGACGCGGGGGCGCCGATTGCGCATTTCGCCTAGGGTACCAGTTGCCGGCAGCTCCTCGAGGGCCACTCCTGCTGTTGTCAATTGCAAAAAGTAAACAAAGTGAAAAAAGAGGAAATAATGTATTTTCTCTAATTTATTTCATGTGTAGTAATTGCAGATGTATTTACAACAATGTTCTGAAAGAAGTGTTGATTTTAACTTTGATCATGTATCTTTAAAGGTGGAATACTACTGTCCTAGGAAATGGCTATATAATATTGCCAATTGTAGTTAATTGCCTTCATCTGGCAAAGAAATGTGTTCAAACAGCTGGTTTATAGAATAGGTTTATTCAGTGCTGAGAACTATTTTTTTCTGTGTTTGTATCAATACTTGTGTTATCTGTGGTGAGAAAAATATCTAGTTTAAGATTGGAGTTTTAGTATGTGGATTGAAACTACAGTTTGCTAATCCACAAATGCATGGTAAATCCAATCAAATGGCTTTTATTTCACAGTGTGTTGACAAAGCACTGATTCACTAGAAGAGGCACAGAACCCATTCAGTGATGTGTGAAATTATATTTTGAGCAGGGACATTTTCCCAGCAGCCAAATGTCAGGGCCCAGATTTTCTAGCATGGTACTGTCTGTTTGCACTGCATCACTAGTGGAATCTGACTCTAAAGGGGATTTTTAACTCCCTAAGGAGAGTTATCTCAACATAAAGTGGATCGTTTTGGTTTTGCAGGCCTGGGGTAACTGGGAAAAGGGCTGCTATCTGAGAAAAGGGGGAACCATGCTGGTGTACTGTTTTGACCCACTGTGGTGGTTTTGGTCTCTTGTGGTCACTGCTTGTTGGTGTAAATTATAGGAAATCTTGGG